CCTGTAATATTGCAAAATTAGCATGGCCCCTAAAGTTATCCAGTTCTTGATAAAACCTCTTTCTTTATTCCAAAGCTCATTGCACTAAAGTATAAAAGGACAGAGGTGCTCATATAGGTGCTCCTCATGAATGGAATGCTGCATTTCAAAAGAACACAAGATCATTTTCAGTTTGATTTGGAGTCTGGCATCAGTTAATTTCTCTTTGTTCTTCTCTTCTCGTTGTGCTAATGTCCCCTTTGTGTGTGTACATTTGTCCAATGCAATCTAAGAAACAATCACCTTAATTGATCTGATGTTAACCTCTAACAATTTAAGACATGGGCTTTTTATCTATCGCTCAATCCTCGCTGCAGATGTAATTCCCTATAGTGCTTACATCTTTGTCACCTCCACCAGTGGATCTTTCTCAAGATAGCTTTTCAGTAAATAAGTGCGGCTGAAAACAAAACGGACCATTTACAAAACAGTCCCCACCATCGTGGAAAAAACCTTGTTTCGGTCTTACACTTTGCCCAGTGGTGCATATAATGATAAATTTCAGACAGGCGTCACCAATTTCAGCCCCCGCAAAGGACTGATGGTTTACAGTAGGCTGATCCATCACCCAAGGCAGGTGGCATCCTATTGGAATTTCAGAAATCTGTTCCCAATCACATTCACTGTTGGGTGACTCAGTAACGACCCTATTTGCCGTGCGTTACTGAAAATCAATGTGCCGCATACAAGGTCAATGTACTGTTGGAAAACTCTTTAAGCTCTGATGGATGGATTGTGCTCATTCAGAATAAATGTGAGAAGAAAGTGATGGCTAGCATCCAGCAACGGTTGTGCCAACCCTCAAAGACAGGTATCCTTCTTAGGTGGGCTGGGACAGTCCCCGATGGGTAACCATACACGCTTCCTCTTGTCCTCTGTTGGGGAGAGGATGTCTGCATTCCTTACTGTATCTTTCCGCACATAATTAAAGCACCGACAGGCAGGATCTCTGCACAGATTCTATCAGCCCAATGCTTTCACAATCTCTGTGAGTCAATTTGGAATCAAAGTATTCAATATTGGCAGAATCGAGGCCAACTAGGATGCATATAAAACACATATCTTTGTTGAGATACTCTGGAAAATAGCCGAAGATAACACACTCATTGGGTTCAGTTCATTCCCCAAACAGGAAAATCTTTAAAATGTGTCATGCAATGAACTCAAGGTCAGGGATATAAAGATTAAAGATCTGGAATCTTTAGCCTCCACTCCAAAAATTTAAAGTCAAGGAAGATACATAAATATACAATCACGTTACTAAATGCAGCAAGCGGTGGACCTGTCGTATGGAGAGAGGGCTGAGGATATCCTCATACAGAAGGGGAGAGTGCATGGGAGAAAGTTGCAGATTCTCCCTGGGGCCATTTACTGGCTGGAACGGTTGTGATTAACACTTAGCAAAGTGGAAAAGAAAGTAAGCCAAGATTTGTTCAGTGAGTTCCAATTTCCAGTACGTTTAACTATTTTTAAAAAGAAGTCTCCAAATGCTAAAGTAACTTTTGACAGGAAGAGATGCTAAGGATATAAAATAGATCATATTTCATCACCACAACGCTTCCTTCCTGGTGACCTATTTACTGACCGAGCAGACATAATGCTTTTCCAACCTTCCAAATGTTCTCAGGGTCTCTCATGGCAAGGGGGAAAATCAGAAAATGCATGTTGTCATCTCCTTGGATAGAGAATAAACTTTACTGAAGCTTTCTTTTCTTCTTTTTTACCTTTCTTTCTTCCTTCTTTCTTTCCTTCCTTCCTTCCTGTCTTTTTCCCCTTCCTTCTTTCATTCCTCCTTTCCTTCCTCCCTTCCTTCTTTAATTCTTTCTTACTATTGTAGTTATTAGCTTCTAAAAGGAAAGTATAATTATTGGCTAAGCAATACATAAAGGCAAAAGATTAATAGTTGATAAGCAATCCAAGTAACTTCAGAACTATTTACAGATGGTTCATACAACCAAAATGATAATTCCAAAGAAATCAACAGTAGATCAAATAGATGTCTACTGATCTTCAATGACCAAGTTGGTCTCTAACTTTTAGGATAATGCCTGAAATACAGCCACAGCTCAAAGAGCCTATGGACACACAAATGAGTACAAGCATGGGTTGGTGCACTCATTGGCCATGAAGGAGGCAACTGTATTTTTCTCCTGTGTGGAAATTGGCAAGCATTCACTTGCTCAGAGGGTCTTTTTTATGCTCAAAGTTCCTTTTATTATAACCTACCACCTGCATGATAGTTAATCTGAAATACTCTAGAAATTCCATCCTCTGTTTTTGTTGATCATCTAAGTTTACGGTTTCATTGTTTGTACAAATGGTTTGACCCCAGAAAGACCTCGTTTCTTTATTTGACAATCAAGTTATACACATATTTCAAGATATATTTATTCCAGCATCCACTCATTCATTATTATTCAAGCACATTCATTGTTGAAGTTCATTTATTCACACATACAATATGTCAGGGTCAAGGCTAGGCACTTGGAAGACAAAGAAGTCTAAACTGAGAGCCCTTCTCTGAGGTAGCCCACTCTGTAGAATCAGTGGACATTGAGGGGCAGATGATCAGACATGTAAATGGATAATTCTAAATATGCTATAATAAGAAATAGCAAAAAGGAACTCAGCAAACATGTGAGTGGATGTGGGGGTGGAGAGAAATTAGGAACATTACAGCTGAGCCTGCACATCCAGTGGGAAGTGGCATTCATGTTGGGGTAGAATAGCATAGTATTTCAGGCAAGAAACCACATTTACAGAATCAAGAAGACGCCAAGCGATGTGGTATGCTTAAGACTATGGACTATTTTAGGTGGCAGAGATTGGCACTGAGGGGAAGGACAAATGGCTGAAAGGGGATTTGGAACTCAATCATAAAGAGTCTAGCCTGGTGAATATACACAATGAAATATTATTCAGCAGTAAACAAGAATAAAATCATGTCAACTGCAGGAAAATTAACGGAACTAGAGACCATCATGGTAAGTAACATAAACCAGACTGAGGACATTAAATATCACATGCTGTATCTTACACGAGAAACCAAATAAATAAATATTTAGGTAAATGAACAAACAAACAAATGAGACATGATAGAAAAAATAGGAGGTAGATGTTTTGAAATGAGGAAGGGGATCAGAAAGAGGGGTAATTGGATAGAAAACAATCAAGATATGTTAAATGCTTGTACCAATTTACAAAGATAATTCTTTATTACTAACATGCAATTGTAATAAAGTTTTCATTCATAAGACTTCAGGATTAAACTTGTAGATAATAGGACCCTGGCAATTTGTCTTTCCACATAACCATATAACAAGCATACAGAAAAATACATAGAGAAATGAATACTTCCATGTTACAATTTTTAAATCAAAACACACAATAGCACCAGAACCTGGAAGCCTCCCTACCATCGCCATGGGCAGTTATGATCTTGTGGTAACCGCCATCTTTATTTCTAACAGCCTAGACTGGCATTCTCCATTCTTCATTTCATACAAATGAAGTCATGCAGGATGTACTTTTAGTCAGTAATATGTTAGTTAGACTCATAATATTCTTCTGCATAGTCATAGGTCTTGTCTTTGTTGGGTGGTATTCAATTATATGAATAGACTACAATGTTTAAATCTATTCTGTTGTTGATTGTCATTTTTATATCAGTTGCATTTTAGAGCTATGACAATCAGGCTTTGGTAGCAACATTCTAATACTTACCTTTCAGTGAAGATATGTATACATGTGGGTTGAGTACATACCCAAGGGTTCTCAGCTTTAATAGACAATGTCAAATTGATTTCCTAAGCCTGGTTGTTCCAATATATCCTTCAACCAGTCATAAAAGGGACTTTTGGTTATTCTGCAGAATCAAAGCAACAACTATAATTTTTATTTATTCAATTAATGGTGATCTTTTTGATTGGGCTGATGTTTCCATGAGGACAGAGATTGTGTGTGCCTTTTCTTACCATGCCCTGTTTAGTGGCTAGCCCAGGGTTTGCTCACCACCCTGCACACACACACACACACCACAGACATGCACACAGTCACCTTGTGCTTGAACAGATTCACAACCAAATGTCTATGTTTTAAATGCTTTCCTATAGACAATGTAGTCATTGTTTTGATGGACATAGATTATATTTGTCTTAGATTCTTCCATATAGACAGAAGCAGGACAATATCCTCTATTTGTAACCATTGAACCTATTATTGTGGATGAAAATGGAGAATTACAGTTGAGATAATAAATTAATTTCAATATTGTGCCAAAATACTTAGTGAATCTTGTAATTCAATCCAAAAAGTAGTTAATGCAATAAAGAGAAAAGAAGTTTTTAATACCAGTAATTTTCAAGTACCAAGCAACTGTCTATGTCCACCTCCTTCAGAGATATTTTTGAAATGTCTGAAATAGAGATATTGTGAATTAGAGGTAAAGAAAATGTCAGAGGAAAACTGCAAAAGTAACACATCTAGTGGGCCCAGGATTTAGCTCAGTGGTTTCACTACCTGCTGTGCAAGTGCAAGGACCCAAGTTCGATCCCCGGTATAAAAAATAAAAAAGTAACACATCTATTTGCTTCAATAGCCCCTCATCCCAAGGCTACATTCAGAGCCACCTATTAAAGAGCTGGCATTCTTCCACTGATTAATTTCTACTTGGCCATTGTTAAAATTGGGATTGGAGAAACTTCTCCATGTTTACATAGGACAAGAGGAAATGAAAAGCACATCTACATTCATAAGTTATCATGTGAAAAGCTTCAAAGGTGATAGGGAGGCTCTACTAAACCCATGGCCCCTGGCTTCCTCCCTAAACCCTGCTTGCCCTTGGAGAAACTCTCAGTCATATATTAGCTATTTGGAATTAGAAGACACTTAGTGCTGTATCACTTCACACCTTCCCTAATGGTTAAATCCTATGAGTTACTTCCTGTTGTGGGATGACTCACCCCAAGGAACTTAGCTGCTTACACCACTGTCCTTACTGAAGGTCTCCCTCAGCTTCCATGGGTCAGGAGTTGGGAGCAGCTCTGCACTTCCTGCCCACCAGTGTCTCCTGGGTTCGCTGTCACCTGGTGGCTGGGCTGGTTGTGGTAGAGCTTCTCCACTCCCTACTTGGTTCCTGGGCTGGAAGACTTGATCAGATGGGGGTGGAGCATGTGGGATTCCCAGGCATCACCCTCAGAATCTGTGTGGTGTCTTCTCAAGCATGGTGAGAGTAGCTTCTTTGGACTGCTGTGTTGGCTCAAGGGCCAAAAGGCATCTGGCCCAAGAGGCTGTGCCGACTGGAAGATGTTGATGTAGCTTTTGCAGTGGACCTTTGGAAGTCATGCTATGCAGTCTTGAGACTGAACTGCATTCAACCGGAAGGGGCACAGGTCCCACATCTAGATGGAGTGGAGTGTCAGCATTATGTTGTAAGAAGAACATATGGGATTCTTGCAGTCATCTTTGGAAAATACTGCCAGCTACCAACTCATGCCTGCAATGCTGCGAGTGTACCTCCAGTTTCTGCTAGACCTTGAATAGTCCAGACAGGACCTGGGAGAAAGTGGGTGGTCTATGAGCAGTTTCATGTGAGAGCTGTATGGAGCAACTGTTCTCATGTTGCTCTGAGTCCATATTGCTTCTTTATGCAGAATCAAAACCTACTCTCATGTGGCTTCTTCCCACATGATTAAGTTCTAGTACCTTAATATGGATTGACTGTCTCTGCTTCCCCTAAATCCAAATGTAGTATTTGGAGGTAGGGCTTTGGGAAGATAATCATGTTTAGACAAGGTTATGAGGATAAAGCTCTCATGCTATTGGCACTAGTGTTCTGGGTTTATAAGAACAGAGGGAGTATTGTGTGGGGTGTGGAGGGGGTCCCTTCTCTCCAAGCTCACACTAAAGAACAGCCCCTGGAGAACATAGTAAGATGCAAGTGAACCCTTACGAAGCACCAAATGCACCAGCACTTTGATCTTGGACTTCCCAGCCTCCAGAGCTGTTACAAATTAATATGTGTAGTTTAAGCTACTCAGTCTGTGGTGTTTTGGTAAGATAGCCCAAGGATATTGATACAGATAGCATTCATTGATTGATCCACAGATTCCTATACTCAGCATATGTATAAGCCAATGATCAACGATGCTTACAGAAATAAGGCATGGTATGGGCACATCTTAGCTCAGGCTGCTATAACAAAACACTAGAGTCTGAGCAATTAAAATAACAGAAATGTACTTTCTCAAAGCTCAAAGGGCTGGAAGTCCAAGATCAAGGTGCCAGTAGGGTTGGTTTTTTCTCTCCTCCTAGCTCGCAGGTGGCCACCTGCATGTGCACAAGCATCCCCGCTGCCTCTTCTCCTTCTAACAAGGACACCAGCCATATTAGATTAACATCCACCATATGGAGCCCCATTTAACTCGGTCACCCCTTTAAAGACCTTCCCTTTAAATGCATTCCTTTTCCCCTCCATATAAGTGGGTTCCACATTTGTGGATTCAACTCACTGGAGGTCGGAAATATTTTTTTTAATTTCCACCTATACTGAATATGTACAGATTGTTTTCTTTTCATTTTCCCCTTAACAATATAGCACAACAACTATTAACTTGGCATTTGCATTGTGTTGGGTATTATAAGTAATCTAGGTATGATTTAGGGTGTGTGAGAAGATGCACATAGGATATGCAAATGGTCTACACCTTTATGCAGGGGACTTGGGCATCTGCGGGGGTCCTGGAAGCCGTCCCCAGTAGACACTAAGGGAGAGCTGCACAGTTACATCCTGAGATACGAGGTCAGGACTCCAGCACGCAGGTTTAGGGAGGGAGACACAGTTCAGCCTGTAACACTGTCTAAGAGGTTATAGGTTAAGTGTTCACCTGACTGTCATGAACATACGCCCACCCTCACCCCTCCGGTCCTCCTCTAAGCTCAGACTAATGCCCTGAGCACTGACAGCCTCCCACCACACTGCAGCACCCATCCTTTTGCCCAGAAGCAGCTGCTAAACTTCGGCAGAATAAAGCAGAACTCTGATTTCCCTGCCTTTGAAGCTCTATTTATTACTTTAAAATGTTACCAATAGTTTTCTGTTTGGTTTCTCATCTTTCATGAAATTGTAATTGTCCTTAAATGAACTTGTGTTTTTATTATTACATCCTGTCATATTTACACATGCTATATGAATTCCATGTTAGTATACCCATTTTGCAGATAATAGAGACTGAGGATAAAAGAATTCAGTAGAGATACAGGACTAACGGCAGTGCTGGAATGTGCATCTAAAATTCCTCCCTGTGCATCAGCTTTCGCTCCTTCTCTCACTTTGAATGTCCACGTCGGGTGAATTCTACAGCCTTCTTTTCAGCAAGGGAGTGAGATGAGAGGGTCCTAGTAAAGCTTCCCCGACGGCATTTCCTTACCTTTTTATTTGCACCATTTAAACACATTTATGTGCCTGTTTGTTGTATAAATTTTGATCGTAAAAATAATGCTGGCCTGTTGTCCACAATTTGGAAGGTGTAAATAAGTTTAAATCTGAAAATAAAATCACCTGTTATCCAGTAGGGTGCTAAATGAGCTAAAATGATAGTTCAAACGTCCCTTTTTATTTTCCAGGTATATAGACGTGTGGGCACGCACACATGCGGACGCGCATACACACTTGATTTTACTTATAAAACATGCCTATATTTCAAAGCCATAAAACACCCTTCATAAACTTGATTTTAATAGCTACTAAATAACTCCATTGTGTATATGTAGCCCAATTTATGCAACAATTAACCTTCCTTTTTAAAAGGACAGAAGATCACAATGTAATTCTCATGATTCCATTAATTATACTTTCTTGTTAAAATACTCATTCCATTTCTTGGTTTAAACCAACTAATTTCTTCAGCTTAGAATATGATCTCTTGCCCTAATGAGGCTATCTATATTCCAGTCATAATCCATAGAATATTGCCCCTGAAGGGCTCATGAAAATCATGAACCCGAACCCCTTTCTCACATAATGCAGAGAACTGGGGCTCAGAGGGTGCAGGAGACTTGCCAAGGTCAACCACAAAATCCAAGACTACACCTTGGGCCTTTGGCATATTGATCATTTATGATCTTCATGAAATGAGGTAGATTTCCATTCTTTTATTCATTCAGCAAATATGTGTTGCATGCTTGGTAGGGACCAGGGACTGTATATAAAGTGGAGAATGACATCATCCTGTCCCCTGATTTCAATCACCAGCTACAGTCCCTTCTTCCAGTGAAAAATCACCCACACAGTCTTCTGAACACACAGCTGAAGCTTCCTTTCCCCTTTGTCTTTCAGGAATGTGCCCAGGTTGAAGGGTCAAGGAGTGAACCTTCCAGAAGCAGCCTCCAACTAAGTATGGATAGGGGTTCGTGGGCTAGCACCTCTGCTCTCTGGTGCCCTTTCTAGTAGGGGGGCAGTTATGAGGCACATTCGCCATGGTCTGCAGCAGATCCGGTGGGGAGAACCTGAGCATTCTCTGGAGGATCCATCCTAGTTTTGTTCATAGCATTTCCTGGGATCACCTGCTTGGATAAGGACAGAAATAAGGAAAACACAACTCCAAACTATTCTGCACTTTGATTTTTATGATACTGGGACATCAATTGGGCAGAGAAAAAGAAATTATACCTGAGCTAGGAAATATCTTTTCCTTTGACCTTGCAGCTACCTGAAGTGAAATCCTTGCCTCAGGCTCTGCTTCTGAAAGAAGGAAACAAAGACATACTGATACCCATGTTTATCATGTGCATTCCATGAAGGAGAAGGTGCAGCAAGGAATGTTTCCCAATTTTCTGGTGCTGCACAACACAATACATTGTCTTTAAATGCACATCTCATCTCCATGGGCCTGCAGTGGATGGGTCCAGCTGGGGGGATCCCACTTGGGGCCCCTCCTAAGGAGGTGGATGGTCAATGAGATTGCAGTCCCCCTGAGGGCTTCTCTGTTAGGAGACTTGGTTAGGCATCCCTCACTGCAGGGAGCTTTTCACATGGCTAGCTCAGGCTTCCTCACTGAATGCTCAGACTCCACAGGGTTGGTGTTCTTTCCTAGTGCCAATTCCAGGAGAGAGAAAATGCAAACACTCAGTACAAAAGGCTAAGTCTGAAAACTATACCTTCTACCATACGCCTCTAGACCAGCAGTCCCAAACCTGCCCAGTCCCAAGGTGAAGACCATGGACACCGCCTCCTCCTCCTCCTCCTCCTCCTCCTCC